TTCCCTACCCTCTTCCCCTCCTCCTGCCCTAGCAGCCATCTATCCTGCCTAACAATACCATACAACCCAACAACTCTGGTTGGTGACCCTTTAGTCAGTGATAACTTCAATTTAGTCGGTCACAGTCAGTACGTTAGAAAAAATAAAGAACAGAATTTATCAGAGTGTATCTCATCTAGATTTTGGTAAGACTTCCATTTATATGCCTGAAGTCCTATATATCCTGGTTCCTTATAAAATGTATTTCTTACTATGGATCTTGGTTAAAAAGGTTTAACAGCCTCTGCTTAGAGAAGACTCCAGGTGCACTAGGAGGCTTGTGTGAGGATGCTCATGGCAACTTTGTCTGTAATGCAACCCACTGGGAACACCCCAATGTCCACTCACAGGAGAGATGATTAAACTGTGCTACAGTCCACATGATGTGAATGAACACGAATCCACAAGGAACCTAATATTGGGCAAACATCATCAAGGTGTGCAATGTGAGATGCTTGTTTCTGATTTTACCACATTCAAAACATGCAAACGGAATATGTATATGTTGTTTAAGGGACACATTTATACGCAGGAAATATTTTCTAAGAGCAAGACAATCATAGGCACAAAATTCAGGAAATTGGCTACAACTCCCCATGCCACACAATGAGGATGCGAAGGGCCCTCCCCACTCCACCCACCCTTTGCCCAGGATGTTACAGCCACAGGGGGTGTCAGTGAGAGAATCTTATTTGGGGCTTTGGAGGGGGGTAGCACGCTGGTGCCAAAAAATGGGCCTCTCCACACCCAGGCAGTGGTGGATTTGGGTTTCCACTTGGTCTGGGATGTGTTTCTGAACTGTGGGCTGAGGGGGCGGTTAAGGGGAAGGGCGAGGAGCGAGCGGGCGCCCTGTTCCCCGTGTGGGGCATGCGCCTCTGATGACACGTTTTGCCTGGTTCCATCTGCTGAGAGGTTGCTGGGATTGTTGGTGTGTTCTGGTCATGGTCAGTCCCGGTGTTCGGGTCTCCTTGGAGCTCCTCCCTCCTTCTGTCTCTCCATCCCTCCTCACTCCACACCCCCCTGACCCTGCTGTTCCTCTCTCCTCTGCGCCCTGAGACTTGGTGACTTATGACCATGACGCTGACCGTGGCCACCTCCGAATCCTTCTGACTCTGCATGTGGACTTCGATTTCTCTCTGGCTGGTTTCCAGGCCTATGTGTCTACCTGGCCTGTACCTTGGCCCTGCATTGAACAAAGGGCAGATTTTGTGTGACCTTTGATTTGCATTTTTATTTTAAAAAATGTATGTATTCGTTAGTAGCATATGGTAATACATGCTAAACCTAAATGTGAAGAACACGACCCTCCTCTCACTGAATCATTACCTCGCAGGTCACCTGGACACAGTCTCACAGAGGAGCACATGACGTGGCTTTAAGTACAGGTGTTTGTCTTCCTGGGCTGGGGCAGAGGGAAAACGAAACTCTTGATAATAGAAGGCTGGCCCCGAGGCAGCAGCACACAGACATACCTGCACAGAAGGATGGCTCTGGTAAGTGCCCAGAAAGCTTTTATTTCAAACACCACAATCCTGTTAGTGGTGATGATGTGAGTGTCCTTGCTGGGCTGCAGCTCTGGCACCGAGGGGTACGGGTGCCTGTTGAGGCCTGAGGGTCGGCCACCCAGGGTGCGAGGGCTCCCCAGAGCCTTCCTGAAGAGGCAGGAATGGTGGGCTCAGTGGGGGCAGCCTATGCCCACTGCCCAGTTCCACCTCCTCAGTCACACTGTCCTGCGTGGCTGGGAGGAGCTGGGGAGGGAGGGACAGGAGAATGGCTCCCAGCGGTGTGGGGCCGAGGCAGGGGCTGCAGGAAGCCGTTCTTGTCCACCCTCCTCTCCAAGCAGCTCACCTGTTCCCTCTGCTTTTCTTTCCATCCCTCTCTTCCCTTCCACATGTTGTTCCTTCCTTCTGGCTCCATAACAGTCACATTTCCGAAAGCTCGCTGCATCCCGACACCATGCAAAAGGCTTTTAGTTAATCTCTGCTTCAAATATGTGAGTACATCTTCCTTGTTAGCCTCTCCCCAAAACCCAAATGGAAACCGAGGCTAAAATCCCCTGCACCACCCCTCCCTCCTCGCACTCCCCCCCCCCCCT